GTCCGGGTGACCTGGAGCAGGGTGACCTGGATACGGGTGACCTGGATCCGGGTGACCTGGATCCAGGTGGCCTGGATCTGGGTGGCCTGAATCCGGGTGACCTGGATCCGGTGTCCTGGATCCGGGTGACCTGAATCCGGGTGACCTGAATCCGGGTGATTTGGAGCAGGGTGACCTGGATCCGAGTGACCTGTCCGGGTGGCCTGGGTCCGGGTGACCTGAAAATAATGAAAAAATTGGTGGAAAACTGAGAAATAGCGAACGCTTTAAGGCAAGACAAAGGATTGTAGCCGCAGACAGGCGACGAAAATCGACTGGTAAGATATACAGAAACATATTTTTCCGTTGAGTTCCGGCATTTTTTAGGAGTCTGGAGTTCGGCTGCCAAGTTTCCGATCACTTTGAAATTTTCAGAGCGTAAAACGGACCTAGATTAAAAACTTCGGATTCACAGAACTTTCGAAAATTCCTAGAAGTATTTCAGCTATCTGCCGATTTCTGAAAGACATCCGTTTCTTGTGTCTTTTAGACATCGGAAAATATCTGAAAACCTAGGAATTTTCAAAACATTCTGTGATTACAAAGTTTTTGAGTGAACGGAAATTTGACAGCCGAGCTCCAAGCTCCTTAAAGTGGTCAAAGTGAAAGAAAAGTACGTTTTTGTATATCTCATTGAGCGGTTCTGTACATAGAGTTATGTGAGTTACAAAACAAAAAAAATAATAGAAGTTGGCAGCATCCGTTACATTTTCAGAGGAAAAAACATTGTCTAGTCATACGACTCATATGATAATTGTGAACGAACATTGGGCATCGGAAACTAAAGTCGAGTATCTCGTGATATTGTAGATATCCGGTACGTCGAAAGATCTATGATGCATCTTCGTGTGAGTAAGTAACCGGGAAAACTTGTTGAGGTGCTTTACTGATGTTGTTAGAAGTAACAAAAATCCACAAGGTATGCAAACTCGTGCTGCCCAGATCATGTGAATTGTTCTGAAACATCCGTTCTGGATATACACTTTGTGGGAAAATGAAGAATATTAGGTGAAGGTGTGGAAAAATGAGAACTGATGTTTCAGAGAGGAAAAAAACCAAAAGATGCTCATTTTTTCAGAGCTTTGGCACACTCTCAATCTGGAATGATTGGAAGAACTAACACGCGAACCAAAGAAAATAACCTCCTTAAAGGGACAGGGACCTAAAGGACCTTGGGACCTATAGGACCCTTAGAGATGTCTTTAGGAGGATAGAGATTTTTCGGAGTCATTTTTTTGGAGTCAGGGTATGCATTCTAACGTAACGGTGTACAATGCTTAGTGTTCATACAGCGCGTCGTTATCGTGTAGCTCGGCTAGTAGCGACGCAGAGCCTCCAGCGGAGGGCCCACAAGTTCAATACATTTTCAGATAATTTTTTTACAATAAACAACGATTCTTGCATGTTCATTGTAAACTCCGAGAACATTAATGATAAGGACAGTTGAAAGGACACTTCGACAGTTGAAACAACAATTTCAATTGAAATCGTAATATCTTACCATAGAAGTCGTAATAAATTTCTGGATCAAATGTGAACAACAAAAATAACCGAATGGAATAGTTAAAAAATCAACACACAACTTATTTGTAAACAAGAAAAATTCAATTTCCCTTTTCAGAAAATTGAATTTATCGAATTCAATTTTCTATATCTTTGGGCAAATTTCATCATATTTTTAAATGTTTTATAACTTTTCCTGGCAATTCATTCTTTCTGTTTTCTTGTCATTTGAAGGGTCGCTGGCGTCCTCCTAACCGTTGTTCTTTTTTTCTTCTAATCTGCTTCTCCCTTTTTTATGATTCTTATCGAAATAGCATTTTCGTACTCAATTCGATTTTTTAAATGTTCTATTTTCTCATTAACTATTTTTTCAGCTACCTGTTCTTCATGGACCAAACTGCACTGATAGAAATGCTGAAACAGAAAAACGAAGTAAGTTTAGAAGCTGATTAATAGTCAACGTTTGCAATTTCCAGGAAATTAAAAAGAACATTGCCAATCAGTCGTCGGAGCATGAGCTGAAAATAGAAACTAGAAAAAATGCAATGTAATTTTATGACCAATAATGAGCATAATAAACCGTTATTTTCAGTCAGCTTATCGGAAAAGCACACCAACAAAAGATGAGTCATCTCCTGACGTTGTTTCTAATCACAAAAGAATACTTGGAGAATGAGAATACCAAAAACAATCTTAAAAACTTTTCGGAAGTTATATACACGTCTAAGTTAATCATAGAAAAAATTCGAATAGTGTTAACTAATGAAGAAGATCAGAACGAGGAACTTTTGGAAGTCTGTCACGAGTTTCCCGCCGAATCACTGGCCAGTCTGAAAAATCAAGTAACCACATTCAGCACGGACCTTCTGAACTCCCGTTATTTTAAGGAACCAGCTCACACTCAGTTGAAGGCAAGTTCCATAAATTTCAATCAACACGATTAATTCATTATAGGAGTATTGTAAAATGTTGCATAACTTTTTATTGGATTGCCCTCATATTGCAATATCCCATAAAACATATAGCAAGGTGGCGTTTTCGATTTATTTTGTTCCAATGTTTAATGTATCGGCACTTTTACAGGAATTCTGGAGGCAGCAGTCAGAGGCTCTAAAGTTATTAACGGAAACTGGGACAAAAATATTAAATGAGCACTTATTAACTCAATTGTTCTTCTTTAAATACTATTCTCCCCATACCGGTGTTCCAGTCGTCAAAAGCTTCTGAATATTCATTTTCAGGTTCCTATTTTCTATTATGGATCTTTGTTTTATTCCTCATTTTTATTTCTCTACCCCACTTTTCTCTCACTGATTTTCCTTCCCCATTCCAAAAACTGTTCGATAATACGACTATTGAGAAGAAGAACAAAAAAGTCAATTGTATCCCTTCTAGAAGTGCCGTGCAAGATTTAAAAAATAACACAATGTCAAGAATGCATGCCTATGCTAATGTAAGCTTTCGATTGAAATCTACATTGGTTCTATCGTTCTATGGAATTAATTTATCTCATCGTTGTTCAGAATTCCGTTTGCCTAGAAGGTCGAAATTGTTGTGATCTCCTGAGAGAGCTACAGCAGCGAGCTGTAGCTCGGCTGTCAAGTTTCCGATCACTTTGAAAATGTTAGAAACTGTGAACAAGACCTAGATTGAAAACGTTGCCTTCACAGAGCTTTTTTTACAATTCCTAGTTGTTTAGCTATTTGTCGATTTCTCAAAGAAACCTTTTTTGTGCTGAAAACGTAAAAAAAATGACGGAAAAACAATACATAGGTGAATGCAAAGTTTTCAATATATATATATATACATATATATATATATATATATATATATATATATATATATATATATATATCTGTTTTACACTTTCCAGTGATTAGAAACCTGACCTAGAGCTTCAGACTCCTGAAAATGGTTGAAATGACCAAAAATCCACTGAAAACATAAGTTTTTGGGCTCTAGATTTTGGATTCTAAAAAATTTGGGATTTTGAAAAAAAATTGGACTTTGATGGGGCTAGACAATTTTTGATTCTCACAACATTTATGATGAATTTTTTGGATTTTATTGTTTCTCAAGATCTTTAAAATCGGAAAATATCTTCAAAATCCAATTTTTTCTCAAAATCTAAAGTTTTCTTTAAAATTCAAAATAACCAACTAGATTCAGTATAGGTATATCTTATTGGCCGGTACTGTATGATTTGCATCAAATTCAAGTTTATTGGAGCTCTTCTTTAAGAAAATGAATAAACCATGCATGGTGATTCCGAATTTGGCAAACCTCGAAAACTTTAACTTGTAAATTTTGAGAAATATCATGTAACTTACCATTTGTGTTTGCAACACGAAAATTAATTCTTCCCACTTTTCAGTAGATAATTCTCATTCCTATTCCCATAGCTTCCGATTCCCACAAATTTGCATACAACAAATCTTCGTCACATTAAATAATTTGATTTCCTCTGGCACTACTAACAAATCGAAACAGCTGCTCTTCTTGCCCATCTTTTCCCACCCACAATGTCAAAATGTGTTTCCAAAATGAAAATGACCGGATCAGTCAAACATGTCACATGAATATCATTTTCTAGGACCCACACACACCCTCTATCTCTTCCTTTTTCTTTTTCCGTTTTTATTTGAAAAACGGAAGAATTGAGAGAGACAGGAAGCAACCAGAAGACAACGAAAAGAAGATGAAGAAGAAGAAGAAGAAAAAGAAGGGCACCACATAAATTCCTCTTCTACACGAAAAGAAGACAAACGGGTTGACCATCTGCTTTGGAGAGATACCAACCAGTAATGTTATTTGAAATTTAGAACAGTATTTATTTGAATTTCATTCATCTAATATAGAAAAGCTGAAAAGATCTTTGAAATTCAAAAAAAATACGACATGGAGCCACTCAAATTTGATGAATAACGCTATCAATCTCTATTTTTTTTCTTTCTGAAATTCCCTTAAGATCCCTCTTCCCATATGTCATCTCAAAATATGACAAAAATCTTGTTGTTTATCCCTTAACTTTTGAAATTCACATTTTGAAATTCGGATATTTTCTGGAAGCCGTATAATTAACACACACCCCAAAAAATTCTTGGAAAACATGAAAAACATATGTCCCAATAACGAGAACATTATTCGAACATAATAAAACTCTTGCAAGAAAAAACACTCAATTTACACTCTTTTCGCTCCCATTCTAAAGACTAATGCTCTCTTCTTCATGTCCCCCGTCTCTGAATTAGTAGACTGTTTGAGCACTAATTGAGCTATTTAAAATTGTACATTTCTGAACTTGCATAAACTTTCAGAAGGCGTAGATTCTTTTTTTCTAAATTCTTCAAATTCTTGAATTTTCGATATAGCGAGTTTCTGAAATTAATTCTGATTTTCCTATTTTCGAGATTTTCGATTTTTTTAAATACGGATTTTTCAATATTTTTTCAATTTTTTGAATTTTTGAGTTTCCGATTTTCCAAATTTTTGAATTTCTTTAATTTAATAATCTCTGAATTCCAAACTTCTGATCCTCTGAATTCTGAATTTCCGATATACTGAGTTTCTGAACTCTCGATTTCCTATTTTCGGAGTTTCCGATTTTTTTAACTTCTAAGACTCAGAATTTTTGAGTCTCCACGCTACGAATTTTGGAAATTCCGAAATAGCGAATTTCTACATTTTAAATTTTTTTAATTTCAAAATTTTCGAACTTCCAATTTTTTAATTTTCTGAATTTTCCGAACTTCTAAATTTTCGAATTCACTATCTCTGAGTTTCCGAATTTCTGATTCATTGAATGTTATAATTTCTAAATTTTCGAATTTCAGTATTTCCGAATTTAAGATTATTCAAATGCTTTGCATTCCATGTGGTAGGGCCAAATTGTGTCATGAAATGCGTTACCGTAAATGCTCTATCGTGCATTTCGAGCTCAATTGTCTCGATTCCTTCGAAAGATATCAACTAACTTCTAACTAATAAAATTTTTATCATAACATGACCAACCTGTTATCAGTTGACACATTTTTGATATCTCCTACAGGAGCCGAGATAACCGAACTCAAAACATGTATAAAGCGGACTATGACTATGAGCTCATTTATGGTACTTGTCATTTCTAGGAATTTATCTTCTAGCCTTGATCCGTGCACTCCACTGAGCCAGCAGAATGAGAAGAGCAAGTTCTTATACTCTCACTTGCTTCCCATCTCTTATCTTCATGTTTTCTTATCATCCTCGTATCTTTTATCGATGTCTGACCTCCAATATCCGGTTCATTTCCGATGGGTCCCATCTTGATGTGACGGAAACATTGGAAAGTGACAATTGGTAGGTCCACAACTTTTTCTTTCATATATCTTCAGTGAAATTTTTGAGAATAAGCTTCTCTTTTGTGCGCTTTTCATGTTCTTTCGAAGAAGAAAAAGAACGACGTCAATTCAATTTTCACATTTTTGGCCTCTTTTGACATTTTCAAATTCCATTGAACACTTGACTTTTATATACTGCAAGGCAGCATTTATTATGAATAGGTCCTAACGGGAAAAACAGAAAGTTTTTTTTTCGTTCTAGCAACAACTGTTTTTTAAACATTAATTTGAGAGAAGAAAGGTTGAGACTATCAATTTGCACAAAGGTAGAAGTAACCCTAGAAGCTATAAAGTTCCAAAGAATTATGAAATGTTGAAAAAAAGTTTGGAGCAAGGGTAATATCAGTTTACGAGAGATTTCATCTTTGAACTTCTCAATTATCGCTGATGGTTAGTTGACCGGTTTTTCTCTGGTTTTCTGCTCAAAGTTCCAGTGGCATGATGTAAAAATTTTCTTTCTGATTTCCGGGTTTCTTGAGAAAAAAAAAATACCGTAAAACCTGTAGTAGAAGGCCCCAAACTGAAAAGTTTGAGCTCACTTATCTTGATTCTTGTGCACGGTATCAAAATTGAGTCAACAGATAACGTTTTTGTGATATTAGGATAAATACATTATCAGTTAATAACTTTTTTATATCGTTTACCGGAAAAGAATTAAGTTGGCCCACAGTTAAAAGTTAGGGGAACCCTTTTATTAAAGGTTTTACGGTAGTACAAACTTTTATTGAATACTGAATTTCTCACAGAAGGCCTAACGAAAATCTCCTTTTTTATTGTTGCTTTTTTTCCTCCTTTGTCCTTGAACGGGAGAGATATTTCTTTTATGACTGTTTTACTTTTTTTAAAACAGTTGAGGCAAAAAAACCTCAAAAAACTTTCAAATTTTTGAATCTTTTCTTTTTTCTGTCTTTTGTTTGGCCGAATTCATTGTCACTTCTACGCCAAAACAAAATAAAACTCAATCAAGCATTACATGAGACTAATTGGATCGCGACCCTTTTTTGCAATTGGTTGCCTTAAAAATTGCTTTAACTTGTAGAAGTTGTATTTCGCAAAACATTTGAGTATACAACTACTGTTTATATTTTCTTTAAATTTGATTCTTTATCTTTTTTACTCGCCCAGAAGCTGATAATTGATAAATTCTGACTTTCTTCCAGAGCACCCAAGAAATCACAAATGCCCTGAGTCCCTACCTCCTCGTTTAAAAAATGGGAGTTATAGGTTTAACAGCCGTTGAGGTACTAGCCGGATGTTTAGGACTTGGTCTAGTTCTAGCCATTCTAATAGTGGTTTGCAACTGTGTTTCGACGTGCTGCGAGACTATTTCACATCGACGCAAAAAACGAAATCAGGAAAAGTTGCCAGAAGATTATGTGGATGAGATACACAGATTGTTGCACCGGAATCAGAAACCATGTGATTACGATTGTGTGGTTGTTGAGTCGGGAAGGCAGTCGGCTAATTTAGAGGTTGGTGGCTTTCGCTTGAAACAAAATAAAACTCTTCAGTTAACACCTATTTTGATATACAGTACAAACTGACAGGTAGCCTTCATTTAACTTTGAGCCAATTCATCTCGGTTTCTGTCAAAGACAGGAGAAATTGTTAACTGATAAATTGTTTATCATAATATCACAAACTTTTTATCAGTTGACACATTTTTGTTATCTTTTATTAGAGCCGAAATAATTGAGCCCAAACCTGACCGAGTTGGGTCTTCTCAGTTACAGGTATTACGGTACTAAATGTTATACATAATAATGACTGTATTATCTACCAATTTTCTATTTCAGCATATCTCCGACACTCGATTGGATCCTAAAGCTTCTACGCCCCCAGTAAATTTTCCCATAGGAAAACCCTTGGAAGAACGGGATCTAAAGTCGATTGGAACTAGCTGTACCCCATGCAAGAATAAAAGAATGGAAAGTGAAGTGGGTTGATTTATTGTAGTTTTCAGACTGTTTTTAAGAACTTTCTCTAGGAAACTATCAACACCAACACAACTAATTCACAATCCACAATAACCGCCTCGGAGAATGGAGAGGCGATGCATCACTGTGATGGAAAAAGTAAACGAAGAACGTGGGGTCGACTGAGCAATTCACTTTTTGATACGGTCATGATGCCTTCGTTAGACACTACTACAACTGAGGATACCACAGGAACAGCGTGAGTCTTTTCTTGAATTAAAAGCCAACGTTTTAAATTCACGAAAAGACTTTTTCCAAGACTCTTATGCAATCAATGTTTAGCAGGTCTTAAAATACTTTTAACTTTGAGCTAAATTATCTCGGCCCCTTTGAAAGATATCAAAAATGTATCAACAGATAAAATATTTGTGGTATTAGGATGAACAATTTTTCAGTTGACAACTTTAATGTATTTTAGACAGGAACCGAGATAAATTGGCTCAAAGCTGAAAGTTAGGCGATGTAGTTAGTACTGGCCAAAAGTTAGAAAACTGATATGCTTGATTACACGATGTTCAAAGATCGGTTTCTGTGAAACAGGTTCTCCCATTTATACTTTTTCCCAGTAATCATAAGTAAGTCTAAGACACCAGGTGTTGATAAGAATATCTAATATGATCATGACGACAATATTGTTTTTCCGATTTCACCGAAATGGTTGAAGAAAAAATAAATTCATTTGATGAGACATAAGCAGGAAATAATTAATAATGAGACAGGATTCGTTGAGTGAATATTCACAATTGGGTGCTCCCATGATTGCTCGGAATTTGCTTTTATTCGTTGATGATTCTCATCGGTCTGAGGATTCGTATATGATGAGGACGCCCCTCTGACATGTCATCATAGTCTTTGGGGAATGGGGATTTGAGGTGCCACCAATCTGGTAAACTACTGAAACTTGTAAAATTGGTTTCCAAGAATCAAACCTGAATTCCGTAAAACCTGTATTAGAAGGGTCTTTAATTAACTTTAAGCAGATTTATCTCGGTTTCTGTCAAAGATACAAAAAAGTTATCAACTGATAAATTGTTTAGCATAATATCAGCAACATTTTATCAGTTGACACATTTTTGATATCATGCATAGGAAAGAAGATAAATTAGTTCAAACTGGACAGTGTGGAGGCCCTTCTATCTTGTAACAAAAAAATACGCTCACCTGTCCACAGTAACCAAAATAACGCATAGAAGAAAACAGAGAATGAATATTGTTGATGACTTCATTTCACAATCAGCTGATATCTTCTAACCTTTCAGAACACTGTTTTATATGATTCGATGGATTCTAAAAAACATAGGCTTTAGAGAAAAAGAGGAAAAAAATTGGTAGGAGAAGTGATAATGTTGAAAACATTCTCAGTTTTTTTGCAGAATAATGTCCCCTGAACAGTCTAAGTATCTCGTTCATTTATACTCTCTATCACTTGTTGTCACCTGTTTGAAGGCGGGAAACAACAGATAGTGCGAGAGGGAAAAAGATCCGAAGAGACCCAAGTCATCCGGTCGAGGCTGGAAACACCTGACGAGGAATTAAGAAAAAAAATAGGTCGAGAGCAAAGTTCTTTCAGCTTTCTGGAAGCTATGAATCTTATGAGTCATCAAGTTACACAGGGTTCGAACTGCTGTGATGCCGTTGCACTATTGAGAAGAGTCGTGTCAGTTGGAATTTTTATTGTCCATCCGCCTAAAACTTTGCCACGCCCCTTCTCATTAGAGCGCATCCGCATACCACAGTAGTTCGAAAACTATGAAGTTAAACAAGTTCTATTTGAGAAGCTAGCTAGATTTTTTTTAATGTTGAAATTTCAGAAACTCCTCCATCGACAACCTTCGGTTCGGAATCAAAATTGAAACGACCGTCTGAAATGTGCCAATTCTTCTTCAAATCTCAAAACATGTATTTTCTTCATCTACCATAAGATATTGCTATTTTTCATTTTCTCATATTTTTGTACCTAAAATGTTCTCCTCTCATTCTAATTTGTCTTGCTCCTGTGTCTCTTTGTTATACCACGAGTAGATCTCATTTATGCATTCTGCTATTATTACTATTTTTCCAGACTATCAAAGTTTAATTTTGTGAAATTGAATGAAATAATATTTATATTTTTATATATGTATTTGAACATATTATTCTGTTACAAAACAATCGGAGCTGTGGAAGAGAAATGCCGTTTTCAGTTAATTGTTCACTACCAGAAATTTTTGTTTTTCGACTTTTTGGGGAAAACTCGGCGAAAAGCAGTCAGAAACGAGAAAGTAAATCCTGAAAATTATTTTTTTTTAGGTTACTGTAGTTGTAGTTGTGGGACCTTCAGGCACGGCCCCTTGTATTTCTTTTTCACACCGCTGATTTTTTTTTGTACGAGAATAACATATTAAAAAAAATATTTGTCTCGTTGCGTAATACGGGCAGCTGGAGCAACACATGTCCTTTTTACGAGCTCTCTCGCCCTCTTTCTCTGCTTCTCTTTTTTATGGACTCCTCAGCTTCATCCTTGCGCATTAGACGCAAGCACCGGACCACACGAGTTTATGCACACAAAACATTTTGTGCGCGGAGGATTTTTAAAATCTTTTTTTTACCTTCGCGCTTTAATTTTTCCGGTCTTTACCAAAAATGGCATTATCAACTTCCTCTTGAAACGTTTCTGTTTGTTTTGCTACTATATTCCCTTTTTAACTTCGTTTGCCTAACTATAAATAGCGGTTTTAAATAACAAATTATCCAAAACGAAAGACACACGAATCTAAATAGAAATATTCGGATAAGCAAAACAGAAAAATTTATCATCTAGACAGAAGTAACCCTTGGCGCCCCAACCTCTCTTTTTATTTCCTCCTTCTAGAGAATATAGGTGACAGGAATAATGAATGAGTTTTCTGAAGTACGCTCTCGTGACTCTTTTTTCTCTTCGTCATTCGTCTTCTTTTAAACACCTCAGACCGAGAGAGGAAACGAATCGGAATCATTTTTCAGATCTCTCCATCTCACACTTTCAAACTGCCGCCCGTCGTCGTTGTTGTGTTTTGAAAAAAATACAACACTGGCTGAGAAGTAAGCGGACAGGTTGAATGGAAACGTTAAAAAAATAGGTTGGTTTTATTGCTAGTCCGGAAAAAATTTCATTTTCTTTCTCTCTTTGTTTCTCTTGCTGCGCTCTTCGTTGCCCAGGTGATACTCCCTTTTTTCCCGGGAAAAAAAATCGACGCTTTCCCTTTTTTTAGCCTCCCGGCATGTCATTTTCCTGATATTTACTACATCTCCCTTCACTTGACCGTTAAATAACTTACTTTATAAAAAAGACCTCGAAGTGCAAACCAAAGTGTGAGAAGCTGGCGTTTGAGTATAGTAGCTTCTTCTCTGTGCAGTGAGAAAAAAGTGATTGTAAGGTGCGATCACCTCCATCTATGTTTACTCAACCACTTTAACGTTTCTATTTTTCGAGTATGTATTTCACACCCTCACACTTTTGATGTTGTATAGCTCGCAAAAATAACCAATTCCAAACTAATTCGCCGTACAAAAGTATCGGCCGAAGGTACCAGAACGACAACTACCTTAACCTAAAAATAGCTTTGATTTCCGGATTTCCGTGCGTTTTCAGACTTTTTGTATATTTAGCGAAACTTTATTTTGGGGTTTTTCTGAAAACAGAAAACTCGACGGAAAAAAAGAGAAAATAAATCCTGAAAACATTTCATTTACGGTCGTTGTCGTTGTGGTAGCTTCGGCCATAAATACACATGAATTTTTTGCAAAGTGCAATTTTCTTTTGTTTCTGTGGGGGCTGACAGTGTCAGCTTGTCCACAGATGTGTTTCTTCTTCTTCTCTGAATCTCTCGATTCAGTATTACTCTTCGCTTACTATTATTTTTCTTCTCCTGAATTAAGCCACATTTCCTAATTTTAGAATTGACAATTCTAAATTGTGGGCGTTCTTTGGAATTCTCGTTAGAAATTGAACTTTGTCATATTTTCCTGACTAAAAAAAATTGGAGGATTCCAATCAGTGTAGTGGGAAAATGTTTGGAATCGTGAGAAAATGAAAGTAGAGAGCAAAGTCCGGATTTGACAGTGAGAATCTCTACCTGCACTGAGAATGCCCCTAAACTCGGGGTATATAGTCCTTATTAGAACATAGTTCTCACTTTTCAATCTCTTCTTCCCGTAGAAAAGCGCCTCGAGCGACCCATTTTAGATGCCACGCTCCTCTTCCTCTCGTTAAATAGCTCATAAACCGCGAGCCAGGTGTCCCTTGCGCACGCGTTTCATCATTCTGTCAGTTGTCAGGCATCATCATAGTTTCCCAAAGCATCCAGTTTCAAGTTTACAAAATTTTGTTTCCATTGCAAAAGTTTTCTCATCATTGCCATTTTGCTCTGATGGAATTTTCTCTGAAAATCTATCAGAAAGTAGGCGGAGCTGCTGAGAACAAAAACAGTTTGTCTGACCGCAAGAGAGAGGGACGAAGTGTAACATTATTGTTTCACACTTCCGTCCATTCAATCCGTTGTCGAGCGGTCTGCACATTCCCATTTTGCTCCGAAACTCTGAGCGAAAACCATGGGAAATTCATGTTCAAATAGTAAAAAAGGCAAGTGAAAAGCGCGATTGGTTATAAAATCAGTCCCAGAAGGCCACACAGTATCACACTGTGAAGCAGGTGCAAATTTCAAATTTGGTACTGTCGATCAATTGAATTTTTTAATGTAACTACTGTTAAAAGGATAATTATACCTAATTAGAAGTTCGTTTGCTGATTCTAAACAGATGTAAAATACTGCAAGCTTGATTAGAAGTGATCCATGTTTTCCTGAATTTCGATGCCCCTGAAGTGTATCAAGTATGTCAACGTTTAAATGTTTCAAAATGCGTCTCACACACTCTCTATCGAATCTAACCCTCACCCTTTTTCTTTCTGGCTGAAATCTATCAATTTTCAGTTGTCTAACTCAAATCTCACACTTCTTCTTGAATAACCACTACCACTACCTTCGACCCATTTCCATCTCGAAACGATGCTAACCACGAGTACTCTTGAAATCGCAAACAAGTACATACTCAGAGGTTCTTTCTTTTTTCATGCTTCATCTTTTTTTCGTAACTACATCGAAACGATGGCCACAATTTCCTGCCTTCCAGGTCTTGGATCTCGTTCGGCGCCGATGAGCACAACATCTGCAACCGTGCTCCATGATCGTCATGACACTGGATCACCGGAGAGTGAGCGCAAGCATAAGGTACGTTTAGAGCAGGTTTTGGGTATTTTAAAGGTTCAATGAATCATTTTGCTACCGTACTTCCGCAAACTATAGTGATAAGGCTTTTTTGGCAATACTCCAAGCCTTGGAGTCTCCAAGGTAAACAAAATTGGCATCATTTCCTTTTTTGCACTCGCCATGCGAGTTAATTTAGGTGTGCTTATTTCGACTATATCACTTTTTCTTATGCTTTCTGATGTACTCTACTTGGATTGTTCCACATTCAAACACTGTTTTGTTCTCAGGAACGGTTTTTCAAAATGCTTATTTTCCCGTGCTTTTTTCGATGGAATGCAGCCACCACTGAGTAGCGACTCAACAGTTCAATTTAAAGCGTTTGCGTCGAGACCAGAGATGTCCGGATTCCGGATCCCGAATTCCGTGAAAAACATTTTTGTTTGGGTTCCGGATTCCGGAAAATTTGCATTTGTCCGTATTTCGGATTCCGACAAAATTTTTTATTGCGGATTTCAAGCATATTTGAAAATTTGCAAGAATTCTCTGACTTTTTGAACCTCCGCGACAAAAAATGCAAAAATGTAGCACGATATGAGTTTTTAGAACTTTTATGTCCATTTGGAGAAATCGAAACTCCGGATTCCGTATTCCAGATTCCGGACTTTTTTTCATTCCGGATTCCGGTAAATTAGTTTCATTCCGAATTCCGAGAAAATTATTTTATTCCGGATTCTCTGGTCGAGACCAACTCTAATTTTACTGTAGAAATACGGTTATCACCATGTTCACAGCAAATAATTCTGCGTTCACAAAATACACAGAACGAAGAAGCGACACTTGGAATGTTTGTGGGTGATAAGGGCAGAAAAAAAAACAATTCCGTCGAAAACAAGGATTTCCGATGCTGTTTTTCGCCCGAGAAATGGTCTCTTTTTATGTATTCTGTTATGGTTTCCGATTTTCATTCTCGGTTTGTTCTTCTTCATTTTGATAAGAAGACGTTGTTTGACTTCTCTACTCTTCTTTTCATGATCAAAAAAATTAACGAATCACATTAGTTATGCAGTCAATTGTTTCTAATGGATACCATTTCGTGGTTGTCTATTCTAATCTAATTAGGTGAATTTCTACTGTAAAATGAATAGTTCTTGTGTTTCCGTTGCGAAGTTTGACCGATTCTTCCTAGATTAGAATTAGTGTTCCTCAATTGACAACACTATAAATCATGGTGTACGTTTATTTATCATTAATGTGTTATCAGCTGGGTGCTACCTACCCTGGCACGGATGGCAATCAATTCCCATACAAACAGTGAAAGTTTGCAATCATTTATCGCCATAATTTCGTCAGTTTTACTACATGCATCGGTCACTTTCTCACCCCTCCAATCATAAATTTCATACTCTAGCAGAAGTACAAGTTCCGGTTATAAGGTTATCGTTGGAGACGTCAATTTCAGAATATCGCTATATGAGAGATTGTGAGTCTCTGATTGTTCCATCAATAGGTCCAAACCTGTAATAGAAGGGCACTGTCAATTTGAGCTTAATTATCTCAATTCCCATGTAAGATATCAAAAGTGTGTCAACTGACATACCACAGATGGTATTATGATAAACAATTTATCAGTTGAAAACTGTTTGATATCAATTGAAGGAACCTAGATAATTGAGCTCAAAGTGGACAAATATGGTTGTATTCTATTAAAGGGTCTTGTCAAAGTTAAAAGTTAGAGGGCCCTTCTATTATAGGTTTTACGGGGTCAAACTTCATTTTTTCGGAAGACAAATCTCTCATTCGATCAGTATCCGAATCTAACGACGACACAATATCTGTGAAAAAATTCCGACACAATATCTGTGAAAAAAAGGGGCTGACAATGATGGAACGGTTTATCCCTCACCACCCCCCGCTCTGGTCAATGAGACAATTGACGCGTGGACGAGAGGAAGATAAGAAGAAGAAGAAGAAGAGGTGGAGATAAATAATCAAGGCCAAAAAAGAAGTGTGAATCGTGTAAGATGGACGCCACCCCCTCGCCTTCACACATTTTTCACACTTTTTGACAGTCGTCGTTGTTCGAACTTTTGTCAAAATTCATTTCACAGATACATGATTTTTGTTTCTCCGGGTACTAGCACGTGGTGCTGCTGCGCCCGTGTGTAATCTTGATTTGTAAGCAGCGCTGACGCTGGCGCTCTCTGGCTCCTACTCGTTCCCGAAACTCTATTTCTATTCGGAAAAGTGTTTGTTTGAATTCAACACAAGCTTATTAGCTTACCTTGTTCCACGCAAATAACCCATTCTCGCGTTCCATGACTCTTTATAATCATGATGATAACACAAGAATACGACATTTTTGTGCTTGTTAAATGGTTTGAAGAGTTGCGGTTCACCTTCTTTGAACCCGCTCCCCGATACTGTGCGTTCCGGTTTATTTATTTCTAATAGATACTGTAATCAGAAGCTCATCCAAACTCAACTTTGAGCTCAGTTATCTCGGTTCCCTCAGAAGATATCAGAAAATTTCCCCTGTTGTTTCTCATAATATCATCAATATTTTATCAGTTGACAGATATTCAATATCTCTCATAGGAACCAGGATAACTGAGATCAAAGGTGACGGTTTCGATGGGCTTCTGTCAGAGAAAATACGGTATAAACGAAAATCACATAGAGTGCCGAACCAAAAATAAGTCAAGTTTTGCGTTTTATCATTTCATGGTCCAAAGTTATTGGAAACAAGCTTTAAATCTGTAAAAACATTTTTTCTTGAAAAAAAAACAAAAAACAACTCTGCTCATCCATTAAAGTTCCAAAATCGATCACGTCATCATTGTCACCGAGCTTCAGCACAGGTTCTCCTGAAGAAAAATTCGGCTTCTTCCTCGCTTTCAGGCAGCTGTCTTTCTCCCTACTCATCTCTCTCATCCCGATTTCTCTCTCTCTTTTCCACGGATGATCCGGGAAAATGAGATTGTTTCTTTCTCATCATCTTTTTCCGCTTCTCTTTTTTTCCTACTCGAAAGTAACTTTTGATCTTATTTCTTATTTTTTCTCTGTAATTGCTAGATAATGTTACTGCCCACAGGCGATATTCAGCTGTCCGAACATGAGCATAATCGGATTTCTTTTTTCGGGTACACCAAAAATCCCTTTTCTAATTTTTAGCCATATTCTTTGAGCCTGATTTCTTGAATTATCGACGATTTCCATTGTTTTTTCAATGTAACCGGATGAAATGAATTGAAATAACGAAAAACGGAGAAAGTATAAACATAGGCTCGATGAATACGGTAGTTCTCTCTTGCACCTTTTCTTCAGTTTTCGTTTTCTTGATACTTGTGATCTAAAAATCAAGAGATATCTTCTTGACGTTGCTCTAAAATGTCTTTATAGAGTGAGTCACTCTTCATTTAATGGCTTCCCCTTTTTTGTCAGGATTATTTGAAATCTATCAAAGCATCTTACCAACGGATTCAGAATGAATCATTCAGTCACTTCTAAGATTTCTTTCTTTTTTATCTTTTTGTCATCTCTTCCGTTCCTCGATTGAATCCAATTCTAAACATAAACACTGCCTATACTGCCTACAGAATGCCGCCAGCTCGTACCGTCGGACCAGCACAACCGGTCCAGCCGATGGTTGCCCGGTCTCCCCCAACTGGGTCAATGATACCAACGGGACAATCTCGGACCGCTGTTGCAGCTTCTTCATCGTCCTCGCGACGTGTATCGCCGATATATCCGAAGGATCATCATATTCGGAAGACTAGAATATCACCAGTAAAAACGGCGTGTAGTCGGTCGATGTCTTTGGAGAGAAAGGTCATTTTCTATACTGAAACAAAGGTTCCTCATCAAGGTTATGAGGAGAATTTCCCGTAAAAATGTTTGCTTTACAAGTTCCGGATGAATCTGTCCCGCGTAACTCTGATCTTTAAATATCGGCAGAAGTTGCATCAAATTTAGATTAGCATTTTTTTTCGCGATAAGGTGATAGATCATAAACAATGTTTTATTTCATTACAGGGCGGGAAACACATACAACCCGACGCAAATATGATTATAGGTATTTGATTTTTGTTTTATCAGCACACACGTGACCTGAATTTTCCAATTTTATTTAGGTGAAAGGAGTGCGGTAGCGAAATGTTTGGGGGTGAAATAATTGTAGGGTGATTAAAAACAGCAATTTCAATTTTTCCAGGTCTACAAAATCGTGCTGACCGGAGGACCATGTGGAGGAAAAACAACGGCTCAGGTTTGTTTTTGAGTTCTCAAAGTCCGGATTCAAAAATAAAGATTTATCTGAATTCCATAATCTGGAATTCGTTATCTCTTTGCTTTCACTAGGTTGAGATTGAGATTACAAAAATTCACTTCTCTAATTCAACAGGACTCAAATTAAACCCAGGCATTTCCAGGTTCGTCTTGCCACTTTCTTCGAGAATCTCGGATGGAAAGTGTTCACCGTCCCAGAAACCGCAACGATCCTTCTTGGCGGTCGTGTCAAGTTCTCGGAACTCGATGCAGAACAGTCATACATCTTCCAACGTGATCTACTCGCCACGATGCACCAAATCGAGAACACTTTCTTCAATCAGGCGTCCGCTATCAAAGATCGCAATGTGCTGATCATTTGCGATCGAGGTTGTATGGATCCATCGGCATACTCGTCGCAAGAAGATTGGCAACGTATGCTGCGAGATTTGAAGTTTGAGGAATTCGATCTGCGATGTTCCCGATACGATCAGATTGCTCACTTGGTCACCGCTGCTGATGGAGCAGAGAAGTACTATACTTTAGCGAACAACGCTACCAGAAGTGAAGGAATCAATCATGCGTTGGAATTGGACAAGAGAACTAGATCCGTGTGGATTGGCCATCCATATATGGACATCATCGATAATAAGAACACCTCGAACTTCGATGACAAAGTCAATAAGTTGATTCAGGTAAAGCTGACGAAATGATTTTTTAAAAACTCATTTATTTTGTTTTCAGGTAGTCTGTGACCGCACCGGAATCCGCTCTGGTGATCGACTCGCGAAGGACTCGAAGAAGAGAAAGTGGCTGATTAGTTCAGTTGATTGGAACAACTTCGGGAAGTTCGAAGAATTTGAAATCGAACACTTTTATCTGCTCTCCGATGAATCTAACATTCAACACCGTTTCCGTCGTCGTACACAGAATAACCGTTCTACCTATACACTTACCTCTCGTGAATACTTCAAGGAATCCGGTGACTCGATTGAGACTCGTATGAATGTCCTTTCAAGAGATTACAACACGTATGCCAACATGCGGGACAAGAGTCGTGCCTCAATCTTCAAGAAGCGACGGTGCTTCATGTTTGGAAATATGTACTTCAACATGGACATCTACAAGGATCCACTCCCGCCACAGGCCAATGGAAATCATCTGATTTTCTTGGAGACGTACACCACGGTTCCAAAGGGAACACCATTGCCAGATGGTGCGATGCCACCTTTCCTGACGATCGAGAAGGTGAGTATTCCATATCTGATATTGGTGGGAAAATTCTCAACATCCTATTACCATATTTTCTCTAATAGAGAGGCCACCCGAACCGCCAACTTTGAGCTCAATTATCTCAATTCCTATGATATATATCAAAAGATTGTCAACTGATAAATTGTTTATCAGAATATCAAAACTATTTTATCAGTTGACAAATGTTCGACACCTTTCACAGGAATCGAGAAGATTGAGCTCAAAGTTGACGGTTTCGATGGGTTTCAGATAATGAAAATATGGTAATTTTTCTCGATACCTATTTTTCAAGCTGCAAATTTTTGTTTCAGGAAATCACTGGAGAAAGCCAATACTCCATGTACTCACTATCAAAGTACAGTAAGACGGCTAACAAAAATGATTTCGCCGGAGCGGACAAGTACAAGGACGACTAGGCTATCTTGCATTCCCACTACATCAACACTTTGAATTTTGCCTAAAATCAGTATTATTCCAACTTGCTCTTAATCTGATGATTTTCTTTATCTTTTTTTGGTTCCTATCCTCACATACCCCGATCCCCCACACATCAAACGGTGCTTTAAAATTATATCTTTTCATCTTCGTATATCCCCTCCACCCCCACCCTAAACTTTATCACAAAGTTATGTGTTCACTTGTCTTGAATTCACCATTCACTTGTTTTTCTGTTTCCTGTCGTTGTTTCCTCTATTTGGTATTGCATTAGTGTTTCAGCAGCTGTCTTCTCTGAAGATTCGCTCTATTTGTAGTTTTTAGATTTTTTTTTCTGTTTTCGACCTAATTGTTTCCGAAACACTTTTCTTCGTATTAATGATGGTCTAATGAATTTAATCAACTCCCTCTTATAATTCTTTTTTGAATTTTGTGATGTTAGAGACCATCGTGTCCCATTTTTCAATATTTTAAGTGGCTTAAACTTTCAGAAGAAGTGTTCAGGAGTTTGCAAATTTTAAGTTTGACCTATAGTTCGATACACTGACGCTAAGCTACAGTATAACTCGATAAAACACTGGTTTTGAATAAACAGATATCATCAGAGTTAGAAATCTTCAAATTAATCATAGGAATTTCAAAATAGATCCGTGCTTATTTTTTGATCGCCCGTTTCTGACGACAGCATTTAATGTTTCGCGCAATCCTGAACTAGTCAGGAGATCATCTTTACAAAATTACTCCTTCTCCGCCACATCTGTCAATTATCTTTT